AACTAGGAGCAACACCCATCACTAATAGTACTTAGCAACAACAATAGGAGAGGAATTTACAAAGTACATACGCACATACATTTCCTGAATATTTTCCTATAAATGGTAGATTCCATGGTGAAAGTGCCAGACAAATCTCACTAAAAAGGGGAAAACAAAAATATCCTATAATATTGTGAGTAAAAAATAGTTGGAATACACCAAACTACAATACTGCTGACAAAATGTTCCACTTAGCAACTACACTAAAATTAGGAATCCACAATCCCGTCACTAAACGTTCTCAGGGAATAAATTTGGAAATGTAAACAAGACACACAAATTCCTATCCCATATAAAATGAAAGAGAGAGAAAAACATGAAAATACCACGTATCTGTGAACCAACCTTGACAAGTCAGGAAAAACCTTAAATGCATCTGCCTGAATCAAGAAACTATAATGATCCATAAGTCATCATACAAAAGATACACCTACATGAACATAAAAACAAAATTATAAAAGGCATATATTTTGTACAACAATTCGTACAATAATCTCATTCAAACATGTGAATGACAACAAAAATTTCCAAAAAAAAATTGGAAAAATAACAAGTACAAGTTTATACAATGAAATAAGTAAATATGGTGCGGATAAATCCTGTGTCCCTTTTTTTTTTAAGAGCAAAAAGTCACCAATATTTATACAGTAAAATATGGAGGGGCAGCTTGAGCTATCAGTACATAGCCAAATACATGTACAATGATCATGCTAGGCATAGATAAACACAAGTTCTTTTAAGTAATGGCATTTGGCCACAGACCCCGAATATGAGGTACTGTACTCCTATTAACAGTCATTATGGTCACCACTACTGCCAACACACAGAGATAAGCTGCAATACCCAAAGACAAGGGAGGGTTCCCTACTTTTTCTTTGGCTTTGCCATCTGACAAACTATGTGCGGGGTGCGTTACATTACTGTAGCTAACTACATGAAGGCTATCATCGAAAACACTCACAGTGAGAGAAACAGAAACTACTCCTTCCACCTGCACATTACAAAAGTCAGCATGCTTCAAGTAAAACCGTCTCAATTAGAAGCGGCTTAGCCTCTTCAAAAACAGCATCTACCACCTCAACTGTATGAGAACACATAACAAGGTCAGGACACTGCGATTCATGAACCCTGTCTTCACTAGGCTTCTCGAAACATTTCACAATAGCGGCAAATCTATCATTCAGTGCAGCTTCAATGCTACTCACTGCATTTCTATCAATAGGACAAGCATCTTCATTTTGTTCACATAAAATATTTGTGAAGGCACTAACTATGGTCCTAGCTAAAGCACTATTTGACTTCGAAATAGAGTCTGGCACAGACATGGTTGGAATAATTACCTTGGAATGCACACACAAAAATATGACTTGTTACAAAATCAGGCCTCAATCACTGACCTACAATCAGATCTGCATACAAACAAACAATAAAATACAAGTCAAAAGTATGTCTAACTACACTGAAGACAAAAGTACAATTCCACTATAAAAATCTCCAACTGACACGGTCTAAAAAGTCACCCAAAAATGCCAAGACAATCTTATAATAGAAGAAGCAAATGACACTATGCACTGGTGAAAAATGTCAAAAAAATGCAGTTAGCTGAAAACCAGAAGTTACAATGGTGTGTGTGCAACAAGCAATACTAGTATTTGACTCAAAAACACTCAATCCAAAGCAAAGGGCCAACAACTGGCTCTATAATTATCTGTTCCTAATATAGAATCTACTACAGATTCACACAAGGCACAACTGCCTAAAAACTGAACAGATCTAAGCTTGGATACAAAATGGTCAAATATCAAATACAATTTTAAAAATAGATTGTTACAATGAAAGTTTCACAGCACACAATGTAGCTTGTCAATGACGTCCTCTCAACGCAGGGTGAGGCAAAAATCAGATGATGACCATCACGTCTATGATCGCAACAATCAAACACACGGAAGCGATTCAGTGCGATTCGTGAACACGAATTCCGGTGCACTAGAAAATCTAAAGTCCGGGGCCATATATTTCCGGATAAAAACGCGTCGTCATTGAAAAGTTCACTGCAATGTACTAGTAGAAAAGATGTCAACTGTCGGAGCACTCAATCCTGTCTACGACGCCATTTTGTAGCAGGACGGCAAAAGGAGGCCGGCCCTCAATTTAAAGAGGACGAGTGTTCTAACAAAAGTGATGATATGACGACTATTTCCAATAACATGAACTACAATAAATTTATTCTTAAAACAATTCAAGTATTCAAAGCCCTATGCACAATAATAGATTAGGTAGCATTATTACATGAATTTTAATTTTTTGTTAAATATGGCCAAACTATACATCAAATTAAAGCTCACGATAGGAGAAATTCAATGGTGCAAACAACATTGTCATAGGTGCTTCCGTTCAGAAGTTATGTCCGCCCAAAGACACCATACTCCTGGAACTCTTCTGGTCGTCATTTGAGTTAATGTATTTGTTAACTAAAAACCGACCATACTATTCAGTTTTGGTTCAAATGTAGTCAAACTATACATCAAATTAAAGCGCCTGATGAGAGAAATTCAATGGTGCAAACGTCATTGTCATAGCTGCTTCCGTTCAGAAGTAATGTCTTCCGAAACACACCATTATTACTCGTGAAACTATTCTGATTGTGTGTGTTTTTTTATTTCTGTAACCAGGGTGGAGCAGCACCTACTGAGGAGAAAGTGATGTCTCCAGATATTCCCTTATATCAGCATCCCAATTCCTATGCCCCCACTTTTTCTGCATAAGATGGAAGAGTAATTTATATTAATGTAACCTTATTGATCTTCAGTGATTAGGTCTCCTTTTGGAAGATCTTCCTGCAGCTTGTGGAGATCCACTCATGACCTTTTGTGATGAAGCACGAATCCAGAAAGACTAATTTATGTGTAAAATAAACAGGGAATATTGACACACCTTTTAAGACATTTTCCTTTCCTCCAATAATTGAAAAATTGTTGATATTCCCTGCCCTGGCTACAGTCCAAAGGGCTTTGGAAAAAAATCTGACTCCACCAGAATTACGTCTGACTTGCATGCACACTTACCACCCCTCCCCCATCGAAGGTTACAAGTCAAGTTTTGGCAGCAAATGAAAATGCATTATTATTGCTGATGTAATTAAATTAATCCTTTAATCAAGTTAATACATGATTTTTTTTATTATTATTAAATTAAAACAGTAATTTTGAAATCAACTGAAATACATTTGTTGGTCATGAATGGACGTTTGTACGAGTTTCATTCATAAAAAACAATGAGTTACTGGCAAACATGACAGCGCATCATCATCATCAACTGCGTCAAGGGCTGGCCAAACATCAGCGCGGAGATGTCATTAGACTTTTAAACAAATACATTTCTACAGACCGCAATCAAACGCAGGAACAAAATCAAGACATTCTTACTCAGAAAGGACCAAGGAATTTAGTGATATAGGTTTACATGAATCCCCCCCCCCCATGTTCTGTATATCTAAATTGTGAAAAAAAGTGGCAAATTTGATCAAAATTTGGCAAAAATTGGCAAAAATTTCCTTAAAACCTTATTTCTTGACCGTTTGAAACGAAACAAAAAGCATCGGCAGATTGTCCAATCCTATCTGTTCAATTGATGGCAGTATTTATTGATTTGGAAGTCAAGAGAGGGCGGTATCATTATCAATTAAAAACGGTAACCCATTTTCGAGGCATGAAAATGCCAAACTTAGTGTCAAAATGGCCGCGCTCATGACGGCCGTCCTGAAAATCACGCTCTGAAACTTCTGGTTTTGGACAAATTGAGGTATGTTTTTCCCGATCTATTGCCATTTTGTAAAAGAAGACATATTTGTCGACATGTAGGAGTGATTTGAAGCTGAAATAGCTTGATGGGACACAGTAACATTCATTTGAAAAACTTCAGTTTTGTGTGTCACCAGAATAGGAAATGTCAATATCGCGGTACCTCTAACATTGCTAGATTAGGTATGACACAGTAAGGTGTGTGGGTGTGTGTGTGTGTGTCAAAGTTCAACACATGTACGCTAAACACTATAATACAAAACTACACAGTCATGACAGTAGTACAAATACAATGCAACGAATGTCTCATCCCGAAAATACACAATTTCTCTCACAAAATGATGATGAAAAACAGCAAAATACTCACCGGGAACTTTCTATGAAGTACTCTCCCAGAATGATATACCTCAGGGAGCATGGCAGGAGCCATGCTCCCTACAAATAGAGAGAATTTTCGGAGACAATTTTATACCGGTCTTCTCTGCTCGAAGCCCACAGGAGAAAAACTTATTACAAATGGCCTTTACGTGCGCGTACGCGGGAAGCGAGCCCAAAGGTCATGATATGCAAATCACTCGCAAAACTTTTAGATAACAACAGAGGGCGCACTTGGCCATCCTACATTAGCTATAAGGGAATAAATAACCTGTGATTGTTCCATCATTTTTGATAAACAAACAGCTGCCAAGTTTGAGACTGTTTTATTTCTAGATGTTTCCTTCAGTTTTAAAATTATCTTTCAGACTGAAAAATTCCAAAGAAAGAGTTTTGCTGTACAAACAACAAGAAAGCTTTCATGTATCTGTTTGCTCTGTCTAAAATCAGGTTGTCAAAAGTTTAATTTCTTATTACTCAAATGTTGATCATATTTTTTATAATATTGGATAGCTTGGAGGGTGAAACGAGAATTAACAGTACGAGCTATGAAAATATCAAACAAGTCGAAGACGAGTTCAATATGTCCATGGTGAGTGCGGTTCTCGTCTCTACCGAAAATAAGCCATCCAACGGTTGACAATTCGACCCTCTGTCTTTGTGTAAATTTTAACCATTTTTTTAAAAGAGTGTATAGACCCCCTCCATTTCCAAGCGTTGTTATAATTCTAATTATTTTCTTTTGTACTGTATTATTTACACTCTTATCCATACTATCTGTGTCAGAAAGTAGTAGCTGTATTGTTGTGCTGACTAGCGCCCTCTTGTGGTTTGCATATTCTTTTGGCTTACTGCTGGATAGCATGTAGGGCGCCCTCAATAATATCCTTATTTTCCAATCACATTTATGTCCGTAACTTCCGTTCCAGCGTTTGATCCAAACTTGACCTGTTTTCCCATTTATAACAAACCAGGTTGCCTAAAATCCTATTCCTAGTTATCCCATAATCATCCAAGATAATTCCTGTGCGTGATTTTGAATAGTAAGTACATTTTTGATGCCTTTATGGGGACCTTTCTGGGGTGATTTGTAACTGTTTTGATAATCATTTTACGCAGTGGCTATTGTTACGGCAGCCGTAACGCATTTCCCATTTTCTATCGTTACGGTAGACTGCAACCTGGCAACTTTTATAAAAAAACATGACAAGAAAATATAAAATTAGAAGGAAAAAAGTGAATTTGAACTTTATGAAATTCGGACTTTATTTCCCTTTTAAAAAAAATCCTCCAAAGCCTCAGGTTAGAAAAGGAAAAAAATTCGAGTGCAAAACTGAGATTCGAACCCGCAACCTCGCGGTGCAAAATCCTACCCTCAATCGGCTGAGCTGGCGCACTGCTCGATAAAACGTGGAGAAACAAATAATTATATACCCGCGTGCGTATCAAAAAAATATCGTAGAGGGCGCTAAACAACGAGTGCCGTAACGATAGCCACTTCGATCATTTTAAGTACATGTGTATAGTGATAAATACATGTACATTTTTACAGTGTTATAGGGTCAGTTTTACCCACTTAGTAATGTTAAAGTGCTATAAGTCTTAATTAAGGCTATAATTAGTTCCATAGCGATTAAGTGTTGAAGCTATTTACACCCAATACCCATTTGTGTAACATTATCCATGTGATTATTGTAACTCTAAAGACATGTAGGCCCATGTTCATGTACATGTAGATCACATGACCCCCTTTATTCATTATTACATGTAATTGGGACACAGGACGCACATGTATGGATGCACTAGGGATTTCCATTTATTTCCTTCCTTATTTTGTTCTTTACTTAGAACCACGGGAAAATCTCACGGGAAAATCTCACAGGGATAATTTTCAACCTCACGTTTTTTCATGGTCCTTCGAGCCGAATTCGAACCAGCGACATATGGATCGACTGCCAACATCCACCCGTCCATCCCGGACTGTTCGTCCACCCAAGCGCTTCAAAGATTTTGCACTTGGTTCCCCTACTGGTAGCCATCGCACTTCCTCCACAACTTCACATCACTCAAGCCGGTCAAGCTGTTCCCACATCTCCCAACTGAGCGACTCACAAGCTGCGAAGCTCACCGCCATGAGGAAGCAATCCCAGCTTCAGGAACTCCAACGGCAGATAGCCGAAGATGAGTTATACGACACACAACTCAAAGAGCAGGATGACCGAGCCAGAGCAGCACGTATGCAGCTTGAGGAAGTTGAACGTCAAGGGCTAAGAGAGCGAGAGACAATTACGATGCGTCTTTCTAGACGAAGAAGACTGCGTCAAGCCGAACTGGAACTACGAGATGCCGAGGCTGTTAAATCATTTCTGCAAGAGGATGCAGATCCAGCTATCCATGACATCAGTGAGATTCCATGCTCCCAGCCAACTGCTGATCCAACCCTGTCGCTGAGCAATACATCTTTGAACACCCCAGATGTAGCTGAGACTGACCAGACTGTACTGACCACTTCACAAGTCCCTGTGAATGGTTCACCTCCCAGTGCACCCACCTGCTCTATTACTGGACAGCAACCAGTTACTCCAGTGCGCACCCTGCAGGAAACAGGATGTGACTCCCTGAAACCAGTGTTCCCAACCAGTAACACGCTCCAACAGTCGAATCATACTCCTGTCTGCAACCCCGGTGCACCACCGTCATCAGTCATCACGCCAACATCTCCTCCCACTTTGGGAACTGTTCCAGAAATTGCATCAGTGAACACTAACCTCATGGATCTCCTCATGGCATCATCCCTCGGTGTACCGAAACCAACCCTGCCGAAGTTTTCCAGTGGTAGGGAGAAAGACTTTGCACTGCTGAAGATTGCTCTCCAGAACCTGGTTAATGTTCACCCGCATCTCAGCGAGCAATACAAGTACCAAGTGCTAATCGGCAGTTTGGACGGCAAGGCCCTGAAGCTTGCAAAATCCTACCTCCATAGCAGCCAGCCATACACCAAGGCATTGGCAGCACTGAGCGACAAATATGGCCAACCCCGTCAGCTGGTGCAGACTGAAATAGCTGCAATTATGATGACACCGCCAATCAAGCACAACGATACCGAGTCCTTTGAAGACTTCTGTCTCGATGTATCCTCCTTGGTGGGCATGCTTGAATCCTTAGACGGCCAAGCCGAAGTGGAGCTTCGATGTGGCTCACATGTAGACAAGCTGCTGAGCAAACTCTCCCCGAGTCTCCGCACCAGTTTCATAGAGCACTGCATCAAGAAGGGTATACTCAAGCCGAACTCAGGTGAAACGTACACTCTTCCCCAGTTTGCCGCGTGGCTGAAGTTGAAGTCACAGTCGCAGATGCTCGCCAAACAAGCCGTTACCAGTCACATCCAAGATCAGAGTAGTTCCAGAGTAAACCGAGATCATCGACCGGTGAAGCAGAAGCCAACTCCGACATCTGCATTCCTGACAGGAGGCAAGCAGGAGAAATCTGTGAGCCCCAAATACACCAAGCCGAAGCCAAAGCCGTTCTGTCCGTTCTGTGATGGGAAAGATCACTTCTTGAATGGCTGTCAAACCTTCAAGGCACTTTCTACCGAGGAGATAGTGAAGTGGATCCAAGAGAATAAATGCTGTTGGAAGTGTTGCCGCAAGCATGAACCTGATGCATGCACCTTGAAGAAACCATGCCACCAGTGTAAGGAAGTGCACCTTACAGTTCTGCATGAGGCTGCCCAGAAGGCTACAAGTGTTTTCATGGTGAAACCTACAAGCCAGTCCGTTTATGTAGACAAACCTAGCCGACCATGCAATACCATGCTGAAAGTGGTAAGAGTTACCCTCCACGGTCCAGACAGCAACATTGACTCTTATGCAGTACTTGATGATGGATCTGAGCGAACCATGTTACTTCAAGATGCAGCACAACAGCTTAAGCTCAGCGGAACACCAGAGACTATGCATCTACAAACAGTCAGAGAAGACCTTGTCATCTGTCAAGGTAAATCCGTGTCTCTGTCTGTGTCACCCCATGACAAGCCAGATGTGAAGTTCTCCCTGGATGGTGTCTTTGCTGCTGGTAACCTATGCCTGTCCGAATATACGTATCCAGTCAAGATACTGCAAGAGTGCTACCCACATCTTCGTGACTTGCCACTGCCTTTGGTTGATAGAGCTCGACAAGTCATCCTAATTGGGTCAGATCACGTTGACCTAATCGCCCCAAGACGACCTATCAGGTTCGGCCCTAGTGGGACACCAGTAGCCGCTCTCACAAGACTGGGTTGGACTCTCCATGGACCAGCCAGCATTTTGAAGCAGAAAGCTGGTGAGCAATGGTGCTTCAAACTCTCAGCCCAATCAGAGACAGCCGAGCTGATGAGGCACGTTGAGAAACTTTGGCAAGTTGATGTTGTGCCTTATGTGAACGAACAGCATGTCGTTCGCTCCAAGCAAGATCAACGTGCGGTGCAACTTCTAGAAGACAAGACAGCCCGTGTGGTTGAGGGAGGAATTCAGCGTTATGTAACTCCCCTCTTGCGAACTGACAACGCCAAGTTCCACGCTCCAAAGGAGGCTGTCCTTCCAACCCTGAGAAGAACAGAAAGGCGCCTTGCAACCCGACCATCGCTGGCAGAGAAACACAACGAGCTGATCCAGAAGCTAGTAGATGCTGGTTACGTCAGAATCCTGGCAGTGGAAGATGCTGCAAAGTCTGAAGAATCCTGGTACATTCCGCATCACACAGTCGAAAACAACGGGAAATTTCGCCTTGTGTTTAATTGTTCCTTCCAGTATCAGAACCAGATACTCAATGAGCACCTACTTCCTGGTCCATCCCTCGGTGCATCGCTCCTTGGGGTACTGTTGCGTTTCCGCCAACATGCTGTAGCAGTGTCAGGGGACATTAAGGCAATGTTCCACCAAGTAAGGCTGCAGCCCACCGAAAGATGTCTCTTCCGCTTCCTGTGGAGAAACATGAAGACCGACACCGAACCCAAGATCTATGAGTGGCAGGTACTACCCTTCGGAGCAACATGCAGCCCCTGTTGCGCCACTTGTGCGCTACGTAAGCATGCCTTTGATCATCGAGAGAAGTCTGCTGAAGTTGCTGATGCAGTGGATAGATCATTCTACGTCGATAACTGCCTAGTCAGTGTACCACAGGAAGACGAAGCCAAGGCTCTCGTCCACAACATGCGTGACTTGCTTGCCAAGGGTGGTTTTGAGATTCGTCAATGGGCCAGTAATGTACCCAACGTTGTAGCCGATCTCCCTCCTGAAGCACGTTCAGATGGCTGTGATCTCTGGCTGACGTTTGGAGAGACAGACTTGGCCGAACCCATGCTCGGACTCCAGTGGGACTGTAGCACAGATGATCTGCAATACCGGCACCGGGTAGTCAACTATGATTGCCTGAACATGAGAAACATGTACAAAACCTTAGCCAGCCAGTATGATCCAAATGGGTACCTCACACCATTCACTGCCAGAGCCAGAGTTATCGTACAGGACTTATGGAAGACCAAACGTGACTGGGACGATGCCCTGGAGCCCGGAGAGATTATGGACCGATGGCGAGCCTGGGAAAATGAGCTACCAAACCTGTCTGTCATCAATCTAACTAGATGTTACACGCCCCCTGATGTCAGCCCAGAAACAGCCAGTCGCCAGCTTCACATCATCTGTGACGCGTCTGAGAGGATCTACGGTGCAGTCGCCTACCTCCGGACGGAAGATGAGAAGCATACCATACACACCAGCTTTTTGTAATGGCCAGGTCCCGAGTTGCACCAAAGAAACAGCTCTCCATGCCCCGCCTCGAGCTCTCGGCCGCTTTGGCAGGGGCTCAATTGTCCAGTCTCCTTCAGCAAGAGTTGACTCTACCCCTAGAAGATATTGTTCTCTGGAGTGATTCTACGACAGTCCTGACATGGCTGAAGTCGGAGTCCTGTAGGTATAAAGTCTTTGTGAGGTATAAAGTCTTTGTGGGGACCCGAGTGGCCCAGATCCAGACCCTGACTTACGTCGACCAATGGCGCTACGTTGACACGAAAAATAATGCAGCTGATGATCTGACGAGAGGGAAAAGTCTGCTGTCACTCAGTCAACCCTGCAGATGGCGAGACGGGCCACCATTCCTATCCGCAAGCCCTGATCTTTGGCCAGCCTTCCCACCTGCCCTAGCTGAGGATTCCTCGGAGCTGAAGAAATCCTCCTTCTGCGTTATAGTGACTGTGGAACTGGCTGACATCCCAGACCTGGAGAAGTACAAATCTATGGATGAGCTCATCGAGGCATCTAAGCAGCTCTGTGACGGGGCGGCGAAGGATGATGGTCCTGTTGAACTAACAGCTGATCAGCGAGCAGAAATTGAGCTTCACCTATTCCAACGAGCCCAGAAATCCAGTTTTCCCGAAGAGTGGGGTGCCCTCAAGGATGGTAAGGAGCTCCCTCGAGGAAGTAGACTGCTGCAGCTCTCGCCAGAGTGGGATGGAGATGACCAAGTCATCAGAGTTGGGGGCCGGCTGCGTCATGCTGAAGGAATCCCGCTATTCACCAAGCATCCAATTGTGCTCAACCTTGTACATCCTGTAACTAAGCTCCTTATCCAGGACTTTGACCAGAGACTCATGCACTATGGTCCAGAACGTGTCCATGCCGAAATCAGAAGAAGATTCTGGATTCTGCGTGGTTGACAGGCTGTCCGCAAACATCAGCGTCAATGTTTTGACTGCCAGAGGTGGAGAGCCACTCCAAGTGTCCCTAAGATGGGGGATCTTCCTTCTGCCCGCCTCCGCTTCCAGCAGCCACCATTCTACTCCACAGGCGTTGGCTGCTTTGGGCCGATGACTGTCAAGATAGGCAGGCGAACAGAGAAGCGTTGGGGCATCATTTTCAAATGCATGACAACGAGAGCAGTGCATCTAGACCTACTTGAGAGTCTTGACACCGATGCCTTTCTGATGGCTTTCCGAAGATTCGCCTCCAGAAGGGGGAAGCCGTATGAGCTGCTGTCAGACTGCGGAACCAACTTCAAAGGGGGTGCTTCCGAGCTGAAGGAAGCCTTCTCAGCGATGGATCCAGCCCTACAGCAAGAGCTTGCCAAACACCAAGTAAGATTTCGTTTCAACCCTCCAAATGCCCCACATTTCGGAGGATTGTGGGAGAGAGAGATCAAGTCAGCCAAGTATGGCCTGCGAGTTGTCCTCAATGATCAGACGGTACCAGAGCAAGTCCTTCGCACCGTACTCATCGAGGTCGAAGGAATTCTCAACTCGAAGCCTCTTGGCTACACATCTTTAGACATTGCCGACATTGACCCTGTCACACCGAATGTCCTTCTGATGGGGCGCTACGACCCAGCTTTACCTTAAGTTTTTATCCAGCCAAAGACCTGTTGGGCAGACGTCAGTGGAAGCATAGCCAAGTTCTTGCAGACCACTTCTGGACCAGATTCTCCAAGTTCTACCTACCTTCACTTCAGAGTCGTCAGAAGTGGCAAAGAGATGTGGTGGGTTTGTGCAAGAACGATGTCGTCATGATCATTGACCCGAATCTCACTCGGGCGCAGTGGCCTATCGGCAGAGTTATTGAAACCTTCCCTGGACCGGATGGTCGTGTCCGGAGTGCCGACGTGAGAGTCAGAAACAAGGTCTACACACGTCCTGTAGCTCGGCTGATTCAACTCCCTGAGATGAGCAACAACGATGAACTCAAGGACGCTCCGACCTCATAGGTTGATGAACAGTTGGATGGTTTCACAACATGCTTTCTTTTGTACTTATAAATTTGTTTCCCAAATTTAGGGGCGGCTGTGTCAGAAAGTAGTAGCTGTATTGTTGTGCTGACTAGCGCCCTCTTGTTGTTTTGCATATTCATTTGGCTTACTGCTGGATAGCATAATATCCTTATTTTCCAATCACATTTATGTCCGTAACTTCCGTTCCAGCGTTTGATCCAAACTTGACCTGTTTTCCCATTTATAACAAACCAGGTTGCCTAAAATCCCATTCCTAGTTATCCCATAATCATCCAAGATAATTCCTGTGCGTGATTTTGAATAGTAAGTACATTTTTGATGCCTTTATGGGGACCTTTCTGGGGTGATATGTAACTGTTTTGATAATCATTTTAAGTACATGTGTATAGTGATAAATACATGTACAGTCAAACCTGCCTTAGCGACCCACTGTACACAAAGACCACCTGTCCGTAATGACCATTTAAAAATCCCCCACTGACAAATCCCGTTACTTAAGTCCTGTATAGAAAGACCACCTGCTTAACACGACCAGCGACCGCACATTTTGCTTCCGTAGGAATGCTCAAGTCTGTACAGAACGACTGCAAGCCATGAAAAGCGACCACAAAATGCCCACTTGTTTCTGTACAATGGTTGATTCCTTTCTCAAAAGAAAAAGCAAGAGCCACATAAACCACTTCAGAGGATTAGTAAATCAACCACAGGATTTCCAGGACATTTTCAAGCTTAATCTGGGTCTGTGGTCACATCAACAATGCCCCTATTGTCAGTGCAGCAGCTTGGAAAGCTGAGCTCCATTCAACAAAATGCACTAGGCATGTGCATGACTTGTGACCTGTCAGTCTCGTCCACCCACATACTTTTGTTATCATTAAAATAAATTAAATTAAAGTTCGTTTACATGTTTTCTGAAAAACAAAAACACACAACATACTCAAGGATTTTTGTTGTCAAGTTTATTGATCAACTTTATTTTTAAATCGTGAAAAAAAAGATTTAAATTTTTTTTGTGCTCTTAATCGACCTTTGAGCTTTTCATCAAGTTTGCTAGCATGTGCAATTTTGCACATTGTGTTTACACAACATCGCGTAGATTACATCTACCCTGTAATGCGAGTTTGTTCCAATATTGCTTTTGAAAAAGAAAGAATATGGCTCCATATTCTTCAAGCCCGAATCCTGGAAGGAATTATTGAAGTTAGCTTTCACTTCAAATGAAAATGGAGGTCATAACTTAAGTTGATCGTGTGATCGTCAAGAATCTTGGAAAGAGAAACTTCCCCTTCGTTGTAGGACCCTACTTTTACTTGTAGTTGTGCAGGTATTGCTGCTCCAGTACAGCTAATTCTCACATAATATTAACATAAAATAATAAACACTTTTTGAAATCATTCACAATATGACTTTTTATTTCATTTTTTTTTTTAAAGGAATAGTTATGTTTTAAACAAATAACTAAAAGAAAGAAGAACATACATGTACATGTAGTGTACGTTTGGATAAGGCAGGTTTAGACTGTAATGACCCCCCGCATTAAGTTAGGGAAGCCAAAGGGAGGGCAAATATTTCCAACCTGTACAGAGAGACCACCTGTCTATTAAGACAGCTTTTATTGTTTCCCTTCAGCGGTCTTTCTGTACAGGTTTGACTGTACATGTTTACAGTGTTATAGGGTCAGTTTTACCTACTTAGTAATGTTAAAGTGCTATTAGTCTTAATTAAGGCTGTTGAAGCTATTTACACCCAATACCCATTTGTGTAATATTATCCATGTGATTATTGTAACTCTAAAGACATGTAGGCCCATGTTCATGTACATGTAGATCACATGACCCCCTTTATTCATTATTACATGTAATTAGGACACAGGACGCACATGTATGGATGCACTAGGGATTTCCATTTATTTCCTTCCTTATTTTGTTCTTTATTTAGAACCACGGGAAAATCTCACGGGAAAATCTCACGGGAAAATCTCACAGGGATAACTTTCAACCTCACGTTTTTTCACTATCTGTATATTGTTCAGAATTGGAATTGGAAATAAAGTTAAGATTGATTGATTGATTGATTGAATAGTTTAAGGATGAAGTACTAATTCATCAGTTTGAACGTACGGTTCAGTTCAAAAGCAAGCCTTTCTTAGGCAAGTCAACAAGAAAGTAAATTTTGATTTGCAACAAGTCTAAGCAAGGCCCAAGCCAAGGCTCGTGTTTAGTATTAATAAATACCTTGGAGAGTTGATGGTTTCTGATTGGTCATGACTGGATCACGTGGGGTGTATTAATAAGATATAAAGACCGGCTTCAAAGAATACGCAAAAAAATGGCCCCTGAACCAGCATTGATCCAGCCCCATGGAAGGCAATGATAGGCCAAATTTACAACAGTCATACAACAGCTTGTAACAATACAGCACTGCACATGCGCTCAACCACCTTCGCTTGAGATTGACGCACGCGTACACAACACAGTTGCTATGGGTGCGCGCGCGTATAAAGGAAGTTTTAAAACCACATCGTAGGATGTTTATGACGAAAGCGTAGATCTACAATTAATTTTTTTAAACACTTCACCCATCGACAAATTTACCTTTCCTAACTGACCAAGCATCTTTGTAATTCTGGACACACAATAATGTGTAAGCAAAATTTCATCTTCCTCCATCAGGTAAAAATATGAAAACATTGTTGTAATTTGTTTCGCTACGGCAGCAAAAGTCCAAACGCTGGACGCTTATTTTTTTTCCTAGGAGGGTTAGGGGCAATGTCATGAATAATTCAGTTTTCCTTTGCATCATTGCAAGACTTAGGTTCTCGTTCTATTTTCCCCTTAATTTAAAATTATCTCAGTGATAAATTTGGAGAAGAAAACTAGCTGATGAAAATGAGCAGCGACGACGTGGATTTGAACCAGGGATCTTTGTATCCATAAGCTCATCTCGCTGTCCACTAGAGGCTACTGTGTGGTAGCTCGACGACAACCGTTCTTTAAAATGCTTTAATGTATTGTAACTGGTTGAGTAACTAACAACAATGATGTTGATGTCATTGTCCGTTCTCATGGATAAACATAATTTTCAAAACGAAACTACTGAATTATTCATGACATTGCCCCTAACCCTCCTAGGAATAAAAATTACGCACCCTGGATGGTACGCGTACGCAATGAAGAAGTTGTCCAGCACAGCCTGGGCCCGGCTGTGATGTATATAACAACGCTTATTGAAGAGACAGGGTACCACGCATAAGATAAAATATAGCCTATGAACCCAAACTCGTCCCCAGTGCTTACTTTATTTCCAACACGGTTTCCAATAGTAAACCCTGGATAGGAAACTTTCTTCCTGTATCCTGATTGGGTACGGCAATTGGCTAGTAATGGATCTTTATCGTGTACTTGGTGCTGTTATTCACAACGTGCAGTACGTGTTTTCGCGATCATTCGTCCACGCCTTCTCGAAAATACTAATTTCCTTTCTAATTTGCTCATATTAATATGAAATATGATACTGCATGTTGTCTCGATAAGATCGTAACAGTTTGATTTCAAAAATCGTGTTTTCGTAACGACACGCCGTGCTCGAGCGCGCTGCTATGAATTGACTCTGTTTTTACCCCAGACACCGCATACAAAAACAAACGCTAAAGTGTAACGCATATCCAGGCACCAGACTGTTCCTCATTTGTATACGTGTGCAAAAATCTTGCACATGCAAATGATCCAATACCAGGGTGAGAGAGCAGGTAGTGGTGGGCGCGTACTGCTTGACACCCTGGGGATGAGGTTGCTATGAACCTGAACACAAAAAAAATCTGGAAATATCGCCGAAAGAAAGTCACAAAATTGGAGCATTTTTACTGTTTATTTCAATGAAAAGGTATTTATTAATTGGAATAACAGTGTGATGATCCGGTCTTCACTGCGTGATAATTCGTCTCGGTCCATTAACACCCGTTTGGCAGTTTTGAAGAGATTCTTGGGGAAGAAATCACGAAATTAGAGTCAAAATATTTTTTATTGCTCAAAAATCACCTTTACAATCAAAAGCAGACTTTTCTCAATTCTAATGACTAGACACCCGTTTGGCAGTTTTGAAGAGATTCTTGGGGAAGAAATCACGATCTTCCTGATACTACATGTTGTCTTGGTAAGATCTTAACAATTTAATTAAATAAATCGTGTTTTTCGTAACTCACGCCATGCTCGCGCTGCGACGAATTGACTCTGCTTTTACCCCAGACACCGCATACAAAAACAAACGCAAATGTAACGCACAAGCAGGCACCAGACTATTCCTCATTTGCATACGTGTTCAAAAATCTTGCACATGCAAATGATCCAATACCAGGGTGAGAGAGCAGGTAGTGATGGACGCGTACTGCTCGACACCCTGGGGTCGAGGTTGTAAGCGCTATGCATGCAGTACAGGGCATTAAAAATACAGCGCGAACAGCGACCTCAAGCAGCCACTATTTTTATGCAAATCAGTTGGACCCAATATAGCGCCTTGGTTCATCGTCCATGTGAGGTTTTGGGGGTGGTGCTCATTATGTTAATAGCGTTAGCTGACCTTAAATGTCGCTTTCTTATTGGTCGATTGTTGCGGGGAAACTTGCTTAGTAAAACGTGGCACCATACATAATCCATACATGTACGTACACGTGCGTTATTTGTCTCTGCACACGGTACCAATGCACAAAAACTGTGGTTCCTGTCACGTCCGCAAAAGGCGAATAGCTAGCCGCAAACAATTGATGACGTCCGGATTTACCAAGGTGTGATTGGACACTCCACATATTAGCCCCGCCTTCACTTATCTGTTTTCGCATACGAGGTCGTGCGCTAGAATCCAGCACAAAATAAAGAAAAACATTAAGCTTTTGCCGACGATTGAACCAAGGCGCGATATTGGGTCCAACTAATTTGCATAGAAATGGTGGCCGCATGAGGTCGCGGTTTGCGCTGTATTTTTAATTCACTGCATAATGCATGGACCTAGCGAGGATATCGTTTACGCGCCACGGCCGGGATGAATAACATTTAGCGCCTTGACCAAGGCTAGTGCTCACGACGGTACATCGCGCGGTGATTGCCATCTTTATTTTCGGGTTGCGTGTTGTCGTCGCGCTGTCATCGTCATTTTTCCCCCAAATTTCCCTCAAAAAGTCAAAACCCTGCCCTCTATCTATGACATACCTGTTTATTGAGAGTGTCGCCAACTAGTTTGGAAGGTCCATTAATTTTAAAGTGGATTTTGTTCCCCGCTTTAAGTTCACGATCGCCAAACAACATTTGTACGCCCCCTTGTATAGCCAAATTGAGGCATCGATTCCAATTTTGGATTGAGGAGGAAGATCTTTAATATTGCATTTGGTTGCTATTGAGCGTAATTTTGGCAATAATCCATTGATTCCCATGCTGCTAATATTATGCTCGAACGGTCAGCAGGGCCGGAGCCCCACGGAATCTTACAACCTAACCGGGCCGGGGATCAGGATGTACACACTAACACGTCACACACGTCTGCACACAAGTTTTGGTTGGTTTGTGCACGGAGCTACGTGCGTTAACGACGGAGCTTCGAACTGCCCACGTCGCGTCCCGGCCCGAGGGGGAAATGAGATCAATTTCAACGATGAGGGCGTGACCCCTCCCCCCCCCCCCCCCGGACTGAACCGTACCGTAAACACAGTGGTCGCATAGTGAAGAAACCAACATTAGAAAGTTTTAAATAAGGGTAAGAAACAAACCCATCTTTTTAAGTTTCATTCATTTAGTTTTAATGTCTTCTTTTTTGTCATTACAAGAAGTGCAGTGTAAAAGAAAAAGTAATGTGGCGGAACCGGGGGGCTAGCGGAACCCAGGGGACTGATCTTGTTTATCCCAGGACTCCAACCCACACCTATTATCCCACAAAAATATTTATAAGCCTAACGAACGGGTGAGCGGCTACCCAAACGAAAGGGGGGACAATTAACGAACGGTGAACTAAGCCTAGGGGCTGTTCGTTTGGTGGAAATATACCACCGTTTTGTGACTGAGTAATTAATTGAATGGAACTAGAGCAACACAAGTAGCGACAGTAGGCCTCAAGGTGAATCAGGTAACCCTCACGGCAGACCTAGGTAACCCTCAGCGAATCTGGTGACCCTCGCAGTGATCCTGGTAACCCTCGGCGAACCTGGTAACCCTCGCAGTGATCCTGGTAACCCTCACGATGATACTGAGTAACCCTCACAGAGACAAGTGATTCCAAAGACGATTATAGATTTGATTTATTCAGGAATCTCAATCATCAATGGATTTGTTCAATAATCACTACAATAATTTACAATAAAATACAATGTACGATGTGATAAATATTATGGACGTAAATATCTCAATAACCCTCACCAGCCGACATTTGAAGCCAAAAAAAAAAAAAAAAAAAAAACAGGTAAAAAAAAAAAAAAAAAAGCCGCGTCGCCGCACCACTTTTGGGGCAAGCTCCATACCAGAAACCGGAGACTTTTTTTTTTTGGCCTAAAGGGGCAATTCCACGGTTACTCACATTACGGTTTTGATGTACTTTTGAGTTTCCTTGGGCCGTAATTATCATACTGAAAAGGTTTAATAACTGTTATCTCCATGGTAGATAGAGTAGCTTAGACATACCTAAGCAACAAAGATGACATCCAGAAAAATTTGTTATGTATGAGAAACAAGACGCACAAAATCCGTTACTCACATTACATTTTCGGACATGCATAAAAAGCCAACATGCTTTGATTAAAAAGTGTCCTCATACAGGCAACCTGTGGAAATTTCTTTTAAAACCTTTACTACCTAGGCTTTTTTTGCTAGGATGTAGACTCAATCCTGCAAAATCCTCCAATTGGCCTCATGGAAAAATAGCATATAGCCTCAATCCTGCAAATTCCTTCGTTATTTCTTGAATATGGTCTATGGAGGGGTAACCACTGCCTGAATCCTGCAAAATCCTCCGGCTATGACTGTCAATAGGCCGAGGCAGAGGCAGTGACATCTTGGAGCAGAGCGGAGGATTTCAAGTATAATCAAGGACTAAATTTTTGCATGGCTGA